CATCAAGCACATGTGATAAACTCACTTGTCCCACCACATTGATGTGATAAATACAACTCCTCGCACCAAGCAGATACGATAAACCCATTCCTCGCATCACACTGATGCGGTAACTTACTTTGTCGCATCATACTGATGCGATCACTTCAACTCATCGCATCATACATATGCGATATCACAAACTTATTGCTTCATATAGATGCGATAAAAGTAAAAATCATATGATCAAAACATCATCTTTCATAGAACTGTTGATTATGCCACACTTATCCCAATATACCATGCTATCGACTATGCCAACCTTGTCCCAATATACTATGCTATCGACTATGTCATACTTATTTCAAAATATACATCTCTCTTGATTATGTCACTATTATTTCAGTCAATTGATAATAACATATTTAAACATAAATTATGCTAATAAATAGCATATAATCGTGTTCAAAAACACCCCAAATATGAAACTCATATGGTTCCTTATTGAAAGCATTTCAAATAAAGCTTTGAAATAAAAACTTACCTTGTGTAACAAATAGATGGAAGACTTTAATCAACAACAATTAGCAGATAATAAACATGTAAGCTATATTCTTCCTCTCTTCTGTTTGTTCGAACCCTGGAGCCAAAACATACACCAACTTTTCTCTCTCATTACTCTTTCCAAAACAAGAGAAATAAAAGAGAAATAAAATATATATACTTTTGAGATGAGGCGGTGAAGTAAATGATGTTTTAAACCTATTTTTTAAAACACACCTCTCAGCTTATCGCAACATTTCATAATCCACCCAAAAATTTCAAATCAAATAAACCCGGTTATCACAAATAATTATTAAAAAAATAATTGATATAATTAATAACATTTATAAATAATTAATAATTGTTATTAATATATGTTGTATAATTAGAATTAATTAATAATGTATAATTAAAATTACTTAATAATTTTTAATTAATTTTAATTACTATAAATTAATATTTTTGAACTAATAGTTAATATTTATTTATAATTAATAATTAATATTAATGAGGATTATAATCGAAAAAAATGCCAAAAAACTTCTGATAAACTGCTTCAAGTAGCTTATAAACAGGGTCGTTCATGAAGGAGGGCAGGCCAGACGCATGTCCAGGACCCATAGAAAGCAAAGGCCCACTTTTTTTTACAATTTAATATTATAGTAGCACTAGCTTATCAATAGAGTTTTTTTATGGGGGAAGACACGTCGGACGCATGCCCAAGGCCCATAGAAAACGGAGGCCCATTTTTTTAGAATTTAATATTATAACAGCACTAGTCACAAATAATAGCAAAATAAACGAGACAATACTTTTAGTATCTAATAGAATTCAAAAGGAATTTCATATTACATTTAGAACCCAAACATAGTTAGATAATTACATTGAAAAATAAAATATGTAAAAACTAAAAAGTTCATTGGTCGTTCAATTTAATAATAATATTTATTGTCTCTTCATGTTTTTCATTTTGAATATAGTAGATTTTTTTGTTATAAACTAAGAAAACTGCTACATTTTGAAAAAGTTTACCAAAACCTTATGAGACGGTCCAACTTATATATATATATATATATATATATATATATATATATAAGATTTCAGAACTATCCTTGTTTTTTCATATATTATTGACTTCTTATTACCTAAATATTTATGCATAAATTTTAAGTACTTTTCGTCTCCAAAACAAGAATGAAATCTTAAATTACAGCCAACATGGGATTTTGATTCTTAGATTGTTGGTTTCAAAAAAGTCTGTTTTAACTTTTCACCCTAAAAGTTTAAAACAGTGATGGAAAACATTTACCTGAGATGAGATGAAATGAGATGAGATGAGATGAAAACCAAACAAATTAATATTGATTTATATAGAGTGTTAATCAGAATAGTCAACATTATGACCCCCATTAATATCAACCTATATATAAAAGGTATATTATAGGATGTTTTCGACCAGGGGCGGAACACAAACTTTTCGACCAGGGACGGAACACAAACTTTTCAACCGTAGGGGCCGGACCTAATATATTATTTATTCTCAAAGGTACCAAAAATACACTGTCCAAAGTTATAACGTAGTAAAACTCTAAACCTAAACGTTAAATATGAACATGTCAAACATCGGTAATCAAAGTGGAACCCTTCAATCTTTTGCGACCTTGAAGTTTTCCCCAATTTCCTCTAAACTAATCTTTTCAGCTACTTCCCTTTCGATAAACAAAAACAACGAATCGTTTAGAAGCTCATCATCCATTTTATTCTTTATTCTTGTTTTCACAATATTCATTGTTGAAAATTATCTCTCGGATGTCGCGGTAGAAACTAGGAGAGTAAGTAATAGACTTATTAGTGGATAAATAAGATTAAAAAAGTGGTTTCTCTTCTAGTCCTTACCAACTATTGACACAATTATGTAATAGATGTCAATTGCTTATAATCTGTATGTTGAACAACATCAATAACATAATGTTAGATTTCATCTTCATCTACATGTGAAACATATTTAACACTTAAGTACTTGACTAATTTGACACAAAAAAGGACTTCCTAAACTAAACAACTTTGAAATTTACAGTTAACTCCAGTTTTTGTGCAACCTAAACTCCATTTCTTTCTATAAAAGAATCTGCTTATGTGTTAATGACTTAGGGGTTGTTTACCAAACGCTTACTCGGGTAAGCGCTTACCATTTAACATTACCTCACCGGATGAATATCGTAAGGACCAAGAATCTTACCCGGTAAAAGTGAGACAAGGAACAAGAGTCTTATCCGGTAAGGGCGACGACTCTTACCACAGTAAGCGCTTACCGGGTATTTTGTTGCATACGATGTCGTTTTAGTGGACTAAAATCTTACCCGGTAAGTAAATAATAGCGTTAAATTTTACCGGTAAGCACTTACCGGGTAAGTGTTTGGTAAACGGCCCTTAATGTTTTATGATTCTATCAAACAAAATAACAAATTCAAACCCAATCAAATTATCAAACAGTTTTTAGCAAATTTAGACCTAATCAGAAATCAAACAATTTAAAACTCATCATTTCATCAAGGCTCAAGCAATAACATTTTAAACCCAATCAAAGTATCAAACAAGTTTAGACCTAATCATTAATCATTTAATCAAACAAATACCCACTGCCCCTGAAGATTTGACTCCATTTGATTTCAAGTTTTCAAATTTCAACCGGTAAGCCTTCGAAGGCATTAAAGATTCTGATCAAGTAACTGACTGTCGACGTCTGATAAAACCATGGTCACAACTCGCAAATCGTAGTGAGTGATTATAAGTTCATAACGAATAATACACAAGATTGTCAAAACTCAAACATGAAATGCATCTTACTCACTAGTGATTATCGAAAACCTTTGATAGAGAAGCAGGACTGCAGAAAGCTGGAGGAGGAGACGCTCAGTCGCTGAATTGCATTTGCTAGACTTGAATCCAAGTTTAAAAAACTATTTTTTCTTAGGGCCTTAGTAGTTAGTGGACCGGAGAAAGTGGAGGGGCCTATGAAATTTTTACTTAAAAAGCCTATGCATGTAAATTATTTTCTCTCTATCTACAAACAAAACCCAGGGCCATTGTAGGCCCTGTAGGTCATCCGCCTCTGTTTTCGAATGAATTGATGATGGTTTGTAAAAATAATATGATATATAATATTAACTTAAAGATAATTATTGATTGATTTTGCGTCTAAAAATACTCGGAAGAATGGTTTTATACAAATTATTTGTATTTCTTGAATTTCAATGTTTTTTCTAATGATAAAACCTATACATTAAAGATTTTTTCGTACTTATCGATGATCCATTTTTGTATCTCGCCGAGGGCCTATAAAATGTTAGGAACAGACATGCTTATCAATAAGCTAGCTTATGTGCATCCAAACAAATTTAAATAATAAGCTAGCTTATGTTTACCAAACAATGCCTAAATCTCGTACTTAATACATAGGTGACTTTACCTCTTAAAATTCAACATGTAACCATCATTATTCATCTATGCTTACTTAGTATAGATTAAAAAAAAACATAAATTCATACTATAACGTAATATCTTATACCGCGTAAAATATGATACAAAATTAACTAAAAAACAAACAAAATAAGTTACTCATATTTAGTTAATCGAAAACCGAATAACGCAAAACACATTCGGTTAGGATGGTTTATTCGGTTTCAGTATTTGACACCCCTACTATGTCTCTTTGCCTCAATGGCAGGATGGCAAGCATCTGAAAAGGAGGTTCCGCACTCAAACATAAGCACTGTCACCGGCCCATCTGTTCACTTACAGTGATTTACCTTCTCTATGATGATCATATAACCAGTATGATGATAGTGCCACTGAGGGTGTGTATGCCTTTTTTGTGGTATATAAAAGTATATTAGTTAAACCACAAATGTGGTGTCTGATTGGTTTGAACTTGGCTCCAAAGGTCAAAAGTACCGAGAGGTCCCAGGTTCAAATCCAAGGAGGAATAAGAATCCCCTTATGGCCACGGAGGTTCAAATACGGTGACTCCAGACTATCTACAAAACAGATGGTCGCCTTGGGATTAGTCGACTCGCATAGCGGGGCGGATTGGATATCCAGGTTAATCAAAAAATAAAAAGTATATTAGTGTCTTAGACCCCATCTCAATACATGTGTCTTTAGAGAAACCATGTAAAAAGAACTATGGTAAAACATAAATCTCACCCAATAATAACTAAACCAAACAAACTCGGTGTATTCCATGCCCAAATTAGGGTATCGGGAGAGTGCAGTAGATAGGTTGTTTTCGTAAAAGAAAAACCGTAAATCCTGAAACGAAATTTTGACGATTTAGAAGACTCGAACAATCACGCTTTATATAAACTCGAAACAAAATTTCCGTATTTTAGAAAATAAATGGTAAATTTATCCCATGATCCGCCGTAAATGAAGTCGTATGCGGACATCTATTTTCTGATGTTCTCCATAAACCAAACTAAACGAACACAACGTATCCCACCAACAGATGGTCAGGGAAATGAGATGTATGTAGAAGAGACCTCTGCCTCTGCCTTAAAAGAGTACAACAATTGTTTCTTTTGTCTTCCATCATCTACTTAATTATATATAAGCTTCAACCTCTATATCCTGCATCAGTAATCTCAACGTCGAGAATACATCTTCCCCACCATGATGAACAACTTCGTTTTCTTTGAAAAGAAACAAACGGCTCTTTATTCCGATCCAACTGCATCCCATCACTTTCGTAATGTTTCTATCGTTCATAGCTTTCTTTACTCGAGCTAGGCTCTCCCATCTTCCCCTAACCTCATATGCTTTACCCAACACCAGATATGGTAGTGAAGACATTGGTTCTAATTTCATTAACCGCTCTGCAACCCTTTCGGTGAACTTTAAGTCTCCATGAATTCCATAAATAGTAAGAATCAATGCACATATGTAACTATTGGGTCCATAAGGCATTGCTTCGATTACCTTCAGTGATTCATTGAGTTTGCCGGCTTGAATCATCATCTCAACAATCGAAGTGAAATGCCCATCCGTTGGTTTGACCCCATATTCCTTATCCATTGAATAGAATATAGCCATGGCTCTGTCAATCAACTGACCACGGTTGCAGGCTAATAGAACCGCAGATAGGGTTATCTCATCTGGTTGCCGCCCAGTTTTCAGTAATTCCTCAAAAAGATTCAGGGATTTGACCGTTTTTCCAGTGCAAGCAAGACCTGAAATCATTGTGTTCCAAGATATCAAATCTTTTACCTCCATTTCATCAAAGATGATCTTTGCAGCATCAGTGGATCCATATTTACTGTACATTTCCACAAGGGAGCTCGCAACAACCAAATCATGCTCAAACCCCAACTTTACAACCAAAGAATGCAACTGGGTTCCCTGCACCACCACTAGAAAGACAACGGCACAGCTGATCACAGAGCTAAGTGTGAATTCAGTTGGCCTTACATTCTTGTTAAATGAAAGTGCAAAAATCTGCATAGCATTCTCCTCAAGTCGATGGTTAGCGTAGCTTGAAATCATTGAATTGCAAACGGCTGAATCCCAGATATCAATTTCCTTGAAAACGCGTATTGAAGCATTTATACTTTCACATTTTGAGAACATGTCAATTGCTGCACTCGAAACGATTGAATTTGAAAGAAACCCTGCCTTTATGGATAAAGAGAAAATATTTTCGCCTTTTCTTAAGTCTAGAATGGTAGAACAGGATGTCAAGACCGAAGATATCGTGAACGGATCAGGTAGATAGTTAGTGGTTCTCATTACACGGAAATGGTTATACGCCATTTCTTTATAACCCGATTTACTACAGCTTGCAATCAGTGAGTTCCAGGAGATGACATCTAACTCCTTCATGTTTAGAAACACATTGAAGGCATAATCCACAAAGCCATGTTTAGAATACATATCAATTAGAGAATTCCCAATAATAACATAAGAAAAATCCAACCCAGATCTTATCATATTACAGTGAATTTCCTTTCCATGATGAACAGACTGAACGAATGACAAAACAATTGAATATGTGTACTCACTTGGTATTACTCCAGTTGTTTGCATCTTCGAAAACAAATCGAGTGCACAATCATCAAACCCACGAGAATAGTACCCAGCAATGATAGAATTCCAACTCACAACATCCCGTTCAGGCATTTCATCGAACAGTTGGCGCGCACTCTTGATGTCGCCAAAATTAATGAACACCCGCATGTAAATATTCCATGAAAATACATTTTTGTTGCGTATATCATCAAATGATCGAATAGCATCTTCAATGGTTCCGAATTTTGAGTAAAGATGAAGGCAACGATTACCAAGAAAAGTATTTGTGTTGCAGAGACTAAGCTTTATGAGTTGGGCATGAATGAGTTTAAGGGAGAACAAGGATTCTAAGGAGAGACAGTTATTTAGAAGAGTAGAAAAGAAAGATGGCGTCTTAGTTGAAAACCTGTGCGCTCTACTCCTTAAAACTTTGTACATGCAAAGCTACGACGCCATGAAACAAGAAAGAAGATGGTGTTTTCAATGAGCCAACTTTTAAACACTCGAATTATTATATTAGGGGTTAGGTGTCTTTGGATTGCATATAAAAATAAATTATTGACTTATTCTGGTGTGGTACGATAATAAGTATTTTTGAGTGTTTGGATAAACAACTTATATCGGTGTCAAACCGGTAATAAACAACTTTTGAAGAAGTTAAACTCTTCTGAGTTATAATAAGTTGATAAGTGTTTTTGTAGAAAAGCACAACTTGTTTCAAATTGGTATCAAATAAATTGGTTGATGATCCAGGAAATTAATGGGGTGAAGACACGTTGGAGGAACTTAGGAAAGGGAAGCATATAGTCATATGGGATTGGAGGGAAATCATGTGAGACAAGAATTAAAATAGAAAATTTAAGCTAGTCAACAAAAAATCTGGGTTTTGACTGGGGCCTTTCCCCCCAATGTTTAAAGATTGGATCCGCCGCTCCTGCTGGTGGTACCATACCAACTTTATAAAATTGGTTGATACTTAGTATTTAAAATCGTCTACAATAATACCATACCGATTATATATATATATATATATATATATATATATATATATATATATTATTTGTATGATTTATTAACACTTTAGGGTTATGTTTGTACATGTATTGCTCGGCCCGCCTTGAAAACTGTGTGCTCGTATGGCTTGACTGGATTCGAGAAAGTTTTTGAGCTGAGTTGAACATTAGTTTTTTTAGAGCTCGACTTGTTAAGCTAAACGAGCTTTATTTTGTGTTCCAGATCGACTCGAGTTCGAAAGTTGGTAAGCTGGAACTCGACATAAACGATCTCGAGTAGGTCGTTAAAAGTCAAATCATTTACACCCCCATCAAGTTGAAGAATGGGGAGGGGGTGGTCGAAGAAGACGAAAAGGTGATGGGGGTGCTCGAAAAGAAGGGTGGATGCTTTTTTTTTATAAAGGTAAGGGGCCGTTTATCAAATGCTTATTCGGCTATGCGTTTATCAAGTTACATTACCTTACCGGATGAATATGGCGAGGACCAAGAATCTTACCCAGTAAGAGCGAGGCAAAGACTGAGATTCTTACCCTGTAAGTGAGGGCAATGACTCTTACCACCATCAGCACTTACCGGATAAATCGTTGCATAGAAAGCCGTTTTTGTTGCCTAAAATCTAACCCGGTAAGTAAATGATAGTGTTGAATTTTACTGCTAAGTGCTTACCGGATAAGTGTTTAGTAAACGGTCCATAAATATTTGTACACAAGCTTCATACACCAGACTATTAGCTTATTTTGTAATTAAAGAATAATGAAAATGCCCCTCAACTAACGATATTCCAACTAACAGAGTTAAGTCTAGGCACTGATTTCAAACAAAAATGCATGCCACGGTGACTACTTTCGTAGTTTTCACAAAGTAAGGACCATTTTCATAGTTTTCTATTAACTACAGGGACCAAAATTGTAATTTACTCTAAAGAAATAGACGAGAAGACCGTTGAAGTCCACGGTAAGCCTTCGTATGGGGTCCAGTACGCTATTCTAAAACGCGCTTAACAAATGAGCGAAAAGTCAAACTAAAAAAATGTTTAGAGTAGCGGTAACCCCATCAAGTTCACCATTTTCCAATCTCTAATTCGTCTGTCTCTCATCCACTATGTAACAGTAGGTAACTTTAGCAGTCCATGTATGAAAGAACAAAGCTCATAGAATTCAACTGGTTTTTTCTTCTCTCTCCAATTCATACAAAGCGTCTAGAGAGAGAGGGAAATACATACAAAAACCATATATATATATATATATCATCTCTCTCTTTCTATATTTGCTTGATTTATACTAAAATCTGTCTGTTTTTCTGTTTCTAAGAAGAAAGAATCTGCTATAGGTTTTGTTTGCCATCCAGTTTTTAAAGGTAATCAACTTCGTTAATGATCTTAACGGCTCTCAAATTGTTCATCGGATAGTCAAATTTTCGATAGTTTCTCAGCTTTGGTAGTTTTCAACTTCTGATGTAATGAGTTTGTTATCTGGGATTGTTTCAGTTCATATTGAATTGATTTTTCCATACGCCAAATCCTTGTTAAGAATTAAGAAGGGTTTTCTTTAGAGAGAGAATCCCTTTAGGTATTTGGATAAATTTCTCTTATTATGTGTTCTTCTTTTTCTGTTTATACAATTGGGAATTTGTTATAGTTTTCCTTTATGCTGATTTGTTGTTTGGATTGAACTTTGTGGTGTTCTTATTCATCTTGTTATCTTTGTGGGTTTATAGGAAGATCATCACAGGTTTAGAGTGGGCAAGGTTACAGAAAGAAATGGCAAATAGTGCAGCAGCATGTGCAGAAAGGGCAACAAGTGATATGCTGATTGGTCCAGATTGGGCTGTCAACCTTGAGCTGTGTGATCTTATCAATATGGACCCAGGGTATACTTTATTTCCACCATATTCCTATTTATCTTATTTATTTGAAAATTTATCAGGTGTTTGCTGATAAGATGGCTGAAACTAGTCATAGTCAATTAGTGGTGGACCTAGGAATTTTCTTGAGCGGGTGCATCTTTAGGGTGGATTAGAGGCACGCAAAGTCGCAGCTTTGATTGGAGGGAAAAGTCAGACTTGGTTAGATCCGAGGGATAACCAATTATGTTGATTTCTGGAATAATACGTTTTTGTTTATTTTGTTTCCTTATGCATATAAGATGTCAACAATAATCAAATTAGTAACTAAAAACAAATTGCAAAATACAAACAAACCAAGAAAAAGACTCGTATTTTCAAGAAAGTTAATTATTAAGAATATGATAATTTACAAGAGAACGTCAGGATGTAGTTAATTGGCAAAAAGTAGAGACAAATTTAGGAATGATGACAAAATTAATAGAGTATTCAAAAGTGATCTAAAATTTGAAAAGATAAAAGAGCATAAGTCGAAAGAAATGGAAAAAAAAACTAGCTTATGGTTGCCAAACATGGCCTAACGATTTTGCTAGCAAGGATGAAGCTAAAGCGCGCAGGCTTTGTTATGGTCGGGGAAGGAATTCTCTTGCAATTTTCAAAAGTGTCTGATTTGGTTGCTTGAACCTTGGCCTTTTGATCACAAACGGGTAACCCCGTTTGCTTTATTTATGTTTCTACCATATGGGTGTGCTTCTGTGTGTTTAAGGACAGTCGTATCGTGGTTGTTAGTTTGAATTTACTGGCCTTATATATACATTTGCAAGTATGAGCTCAATCTGATCTTCTGTTCTACATTTGTACTAAACCCCACCATCTCTTTGTACTTGTATTGCTTTTTAGTAATTCATTCTGTGATTGTTTTCTTGATCTGCAGACAAGCAAAAGATGCAGTGAAAATACTGAAGAAGCGCCTTGGAAGCAAGAATCCAAAGATACAACTACTCGCGCTTTTTGTATGTATTTCATTTCTGTGCGCTTTTCCCTATGGTTGTTATTGTTAATTATGTTCGATATTATGATGTTTTTAGCATACAGGGTAGCTAGTTTATTGATATGATTTTGTTATGCTAGTTTCTCTTTTTGCATGTATTTTGCTGTGATATGCTTTGCCACATGGTCTTTACTCTTCATTTATGTTCAGTGTTATGGTGTTTCTAGCATACAATGAAGCTAGTTTATTGTTACGCCACGTGGTTATTTAGGAGAATAATCTTCTGATAGATCTTTGTTGATGCATGACCTTCCGACAAATTCAAGAACACCTCTGCCTGATCGAAGAATGCCTCTTCTTAACACAAGAATGCCTCAAAACCTGTTAGAAGGTCGTGCATTTTTACAAAAATGGCGTTGTTGTGAATATTTCTCAACATAAAAACCGTGGTGAAATTGCATGATGTTGTTGCTTGCTTTTGGAGAGAACAAATGTGATCTTGGAATGGTGTTCTTATTCTGGTTAATTTTGATTTAGGTACTGGAAACTTTGAGCAAAAACTGTGGGGAGAACGTGTTTCAGCAAATCGAGCGGGATATCTTGCATGATATGGTTAAAATTGTCAAGAAAAAGGTGCAATACACAACGTATTTCGTTATATATTTTGGGTAAATATGCTTTGTGTTACTGAATGACTTTGATCTAATTTCCATATGCAGCCCGACTTGAACGTAAGGGAAAAGATTCTTATCTTGATAGATACTTGGCAAGTAGCTTTCGGTGGGCGTGGGGGAAGGTATCCCCAATACTATGCCGCATATAACGAACTGAAGGTGATCGATCATCTATTATGTACTTCTTTTTTGATATATCTTATGGGACCTTCAAGTCAGGCCTGTTCCTGACATTTTATAGGCCCTGGGTGAGATGTAAAAAAGGGGCTCTCGATAGTTACAAAAAAAATCTTTAGTACTACCATTTTTATTATTAGAAATGACATTGAATTCAAGAAATACTAATAATTCATATAAAACCGTTTTAATAGAGTACTCCTAGACGCAAAACCAATCAATAATTTTTTTTTTAAATTAATGGTATCTACCATATCACTTTTATGTAACATCGTCAATCCGTTCCATCATAAAAAACATCATATCATATACCTTTAATATATAGATTGACATCATCTGGGGCCACAATGTTGACTATTCGGAGTAAAACTCTATGTAAATCCATGTAAATCATTTGGCTTTTGATCGATGGAAAATATATCAAAGATTTTGTAGACAAGTAGTTTTTGTTGGATCTTCTCCTAGAAGAGTAAATATATTCATGTTTTTTTTACAAAGTGTTGTTATATTGACTTTCCTTTTTTGGAATGAGTACAGTCTGCTGGAGTGGATTTTCCACCCAGAGAAGAGAACAGTGTGCCATTGTTTACACCTCCACAAACTCACCCCATTGTTCATCCTGCTTCAACATATGAAGAATCTGCTATTCAGGCCTCCCTCGAGATTGATGCTTCTGGATTCAGGTATCTCTATTATTTCATTTGTATGCTATTGTTTTTTTTTTATTAACGTCGATATCCAACCCGTTATGCGAGCCGACTGATCCCAGGGCGACCACCTGCTTTGCAGATAGCCCGGAGTCATCGCATTTGAACCTCCGTGGCCACAAGGGTTATTCCTCCTTGGATTTGAACCCTGGTACTTTTGACCTTTGGAGCCAAGCTCAAACCAATCAGGCACCACCCTTGTGGTTTTGTATGCGATTGTTTTTAACTAGCTTTTCAAAACTTATCTTATATGCATTTTTTCTCTTGAACATACTTTTCACAACGCTCTACTCTTTGTGGTAGAGATCAGTTCTCCAAATGGGATATACTGAGCTCGTTTGGTTTGGTTTGGTTTGGTTTACTACTGGATAAATCCTTGCACTTTTTTGTTATTTTACATCAAGTTTTGCAGTTTTTCGTTTGCTTGGATCCAATAATCATCATTAAACTCTTAAAAATAAGATGGGTTGCTCCATCCTTCAACTTTTCGTATTTACCAACGGATACTTGCTCGATGCAGCTTATCAGAAATTGTGACTGCACAAGGAATAGCAGATGTGTTGATGGACATGCTTACTGCTTTGAATCCTAAGAACAAAGAGGTAAAAACTTATACATTCATGGCCTTGCATCAATGTAATAGGAATACAACACTCATTTCATGTGATAAGATCATCAGTAGCAAATACTTTGGGTGCGTTTGGTACAAGGGATATGACAGTACAAAATCTTGTTGTCACACGTTTGATGCAACTTTAGACCAGGACAGGACAGGTCTTGAGTGGGACAAAAATGTATGTTTTTTTGTCCCACCAAAATAGGTCGAACAAAAATCAGGAAGATGAGTCAAGATTGGTGAATTACTATACTACCCATGTCAAATTAAAACCATAAAAAATTCCAAAATTCTTTTACCCGCCTAGCTCACTCTCACTTGTGCAGTCCGGTTCATAAACGAACCCTTGAGATCTTCATAGAAACAACCACTCTTTCATCTGGGGGGGTAAAGGAAAGGTCTGCTTAAATCACCCTATTCACGAGCAAGATGTATTGGGATCGTTTGGTTTGGTATTATATGTAGCAAATCCTCGCACATCTACTTGTGATTTAGTGCTTATAATTTCGTATCTCATGCTTCCCTTAAAATTTTAACTGTTATTCTTCCCAGGGTGTAAAGGAAGAATTGATTGTTGATCTTGTCGGCCAATGTCGTTCTTACCAAAATCGTGTCATGACCCTAGTTAACACTACCTCGTAAGCGCCTTTGACTTCAACTTTTTTTTCGGCTTCATTCTTCCACTTATCGATGCCTTGAATATATATACCGACTGCATTTTTCATTTGTTTCTCAGAGATGAGGTGCTTCTAGGCAAGGGTTTGGCCTTGAATGATACTTTGATGCGTGTTCTTGGTCGTCATGATGACATTGCAGCGGGAGCTCCCAATCACTCGGTTGAGGCTGGGGCTCAGGAAAATTCTGTTGCTCGTCTTGTAAATGTAACTCACGAGGATGATGAATCTGAAGATGATTTCGTGCAGCTAGCACAAAGGTGAATATAATCTGATGAGCCAATTGCATGAAAATGAAACGTACTTTGCTTCAATTCCTATTTTGTGCAACGTACTTTCAAAACCTTCATTTTTGATACTTCACATGTAACATAAAAAACACAGGCATCTAGTTTACATCTAGGGACCAACATGTACGTAACCAATGGAGGCTAGACGGGTTATACCATGTTAGATACTCTAAAATTTTTGAACTTTTGTTTCAGGTCATCAAGGGACCAACATGTACGTAACCAGAACATTATAGGTGAACCCGTGCGGGTTAGCCCACTTGCCCCTCCTCCACCCTCATCGGTCAATCCTGTTCGTGCTGATTCAGGTTCGATGGTTGACTATCTGAGTGGTGAAGCATACACTTCTGAAAGATCTTCCGGTGGACCATCAGGCTCCACATATACGACAACTCCAGCTCAAACCATGTATGCTGATCAGCCTGCTTATGATGCACCAACTCGTGTGACCAAATCCGTGCACTTTGATCTGCCTCCGAGTTCTATCCCTCCACCACCTTCAAAGCACAATGAAAGACGACACTTCTTTGAACCAAATTCCAGCAATGGGTTGGTTGATCAGACTCGGGACCTCTCTCTCAACACTTCGGCTCCGGTCAAGAAAGAGAAACCCGAAGACCTCCTGTTTCAAGATCTCGTTGATTTTGCGAAAGCCAAATCGTCTTCTCCAAAACCAAATAGGTGATTTTAGTTCCTCTTTCTATCTTTGTTATATGTGTGTATATCGACAATTTATTAATGCAGTTCTCTTAAATTCAATATTACAAGTGAATAATGTTTCGGTACAGATATTTTAAGCTTTAAGAAACCTCTCCCGTATCTATAAGCTTCTAATCACATCCATGTGTAGGTTGGATTTAATTGGGTTGTTAGCGGGTTGGGTTGGATGGATTTAACAGGTTAACGGTTTTTTGTGTAGCCCTACCCTTATATTCTCACATCATCTCCAAAGCTCTTATAAGTACACCAAATTCATGTTTATGTTTATTTGTTGGTTGCTCCTATCCTTTTTTGATATGTTTTAGAGTACCACGTCGACTAGACTTAATTGGATTTTTCTTCTATATATGTTGGAAATCTCCCCTCATTTATCTCCTTAAAGGCTTTTTTGGAGAGTAATCTAGAGGTTCTACATATTCTCGTATGGTATCAGAGACAAGATCTATCGTTTTAGAGATTCAACACTGTGGGCAATTTGTACTTGTTTAGGCTCTCACCCATCTTGCTTCCTCTTGACACTCTAGAATAATAGGTGTTTGTCTAGCTTCAGTTTGAAGGGGCATGTTAGAGTCTCATATTGACTAGATTTGGACCATTTTTTTCAATATATATTGAACCCCCTCCCCCCCCCCCTTTTTATCTGCTTAAAGGCTCTTTTCGAGAGTAATTTGGGGGTTCCATGAATTCCGATGTCATCTAAGCATCATCTTCAAGGTAATCAAATAAGCCCTAATTTGCGGTTTTTGGTTCGTGCTTTTGATTTACAAGCTTGTAACTTTGATTTTTGGTGGAATATCTGTTTGTGGTAAAATCGATGTTAATTTTGTTGTTGTTGAAGTTGGGTTTGTTGGGTTGCTCGTATCCTCTTCTCACCTACATATCATCGTCAAGGTTATTTATGTTTATTTTCGTTGTCGTTGATGACTTCTTTCCTTCTTTTTTTTTTGTTCATTAATTATGTAAACAATAATTTGCCTACGATTATAGTCCTTGGTTGGATGAAATTTTCATAGTACACATACATCAAAATAAAACCAACTCAATTTATACCAAGAAAATAAAATAAAAAAAAAGGTAATAACAATGGAACCGTCATCCTAAATGCCTCCGGTCGATAGTGGTGGAGGAGGTAGATATGACTGATGTAGTGGAGGCAATGGTGGTGGCGATAGACGGTGGTGGAGGAGGAGGTACAGTCTACCAGTGGCGGCTACAAGTGGTGGTGGAGGAGGTAGATATGACTAATGTAGTGGAGGTAGTGGTGGTGGAAGAGGAGGTACAGGTGGCTACCGGTGGCAGCTAGCTACAAGTGGTGGTGGTGGTGGCCATTAAAACAAATACCATATTAAAGCTATACATCAGAAAAAGGGTTATTTAGTAATATTTTAGTTTTTATCTCATTCTTGTCCCATCTTGTTCCACCTATTTTGGTGGAACAAAAAAAAAACATTTTTTGTCTCACATTGTTCGAGTTCTTGTCTCTGTCTTATGTTGTATCAAGCGTGAAACAATGAGTTCTTGTCCTGTCTCATATCACGCAAAACGTGATACAATGAGTTTTGTCTCATCTTATCCTGTCATGTCATGGCCTGTCCAATGTATGAAACGCAACCTTACGCATTTGATATATGTTTGTGTAGGAAGTATACTACATTAAAAAAGATCTATTTCTCATGTAGGTTTAGATATACCTTACAATACTTCTTGGTCATTAGATCTTGAATTTTCATTCCAAGACCTCCACTCCACTAGGCAGACGACCTGGGTCGCGTAACTCTTTAGAAATCGAGTTCATTGTGTGCACGGCCTTCCATGCTAGTTAAACCACGTGTGAAGTCGCGTAAGTCACTGGAATTTGACTTAATGCCATGTGCATGCAACGATGCAGTGCCCACACAAGTTGGGTTGCGAGAGATTACGTAACAGGTGGCCTTCATTTTTTCAAAACGTGAGAACATTTTTTTACTGTAGTATTGTAGTCTATCACATGTGATATTAAATTATAGATGCAGACGATCTAGGTCGCGGGCCAAAATCGGCCGCACCACCAAGTCCCCTCATGTGTATTATCAAATGTGATAAGGGGGCTCTTGTGTTTTCGTTAAATGAAGGTGTTGACACACACACATGTATATATGTGTGTGTGCATGTATTTGTTTGCATGTGATAAACAACTAAATGGGTCGAGTTCCATCTTTAGATGTATTAAATGCCGATTTGTAAGGCCTACACGCCTATCACATATTTCACGACAAGAACATCTATATGCTCGAATGACTGTTTTACCCCCAAAAGATCAATTTTAACATTAAATTTAAATTTTCTAGAGTTCCTTAGACATGTTTCACACTAATCTGTTAGACAATGAACAATTGTCACGTTGCAGATGGAAATTTGAAAGAAAAAAGTAGTTGTCCGATCTCTCTAACCAGTCAAATGGGCCATAGTAGGACCGATTTTCAGGATTTTTTTACACTAATTGATTGAACTTAACCGGTTCCTATCTAATTTCAACTGATTTCTTAATTTACAGATCAACCTTTGTTTCAAATAACCTCTATCGCTCCTAAAAATGGTTTACATTTACTCGTTTGTGACCCCTCCAACTAACGTGAGATCCGTGGCGGACTTGTAGTTAGGATTGAGGGGGCAACGGACCCAATTAAAACAAAGAATTTTTTACAAGGGCTAAAAGTAATTTTTTTTTCTGACTTCTCATTTAGTTCTCCCAATAAATTTTTACAGAGAACCCCACAATCCTAGCCGACCATCACCGACTCCAAAAAAGTCTCTTGAATTTTTTTTTTTTTTGAAATCAATCAAAAAACGGGAAAACTCCTTCAAAATCGACAAAAACTCTAAAAAAATCCCTCGACATCAACCAAAAAACTTTAAAAATCTCTTGAAACGGTATAATTAGGTAAAAACACGTCGAGCAAATTTGTACGTCTTTAATCCACCTTAAAGGTGATCCCACTAGATAAAAATCTTGAATCTGTTACGAGATGTTTTAGATATCCTAAGCCTCTTGTGTCTCAACCCTCAATGTTAAAAATCATTTAATAGATGTGAAAAAATAGTTTATGTGATTAAGCGCTTATTTTATTTTTTCAAAATACTCATTTTAATTTTGAGTAAACTCTGATTTTGGTCCCTGAAATTTAGTAAAATCTTTAAAAGTGGGACCTGAACTTTGATAATTCGAAAAATCGTTCTTATGATTCTCATTTTGCTCTGAAAGTGGTCCTTGGTCACAAATTCCGTTAACAATTTCCGTTAAAGTAAGGGACGGTTAATTCTTTTTACATATTTTCTTAAATATCTTTAAAGAAAATATAAAGATATAATTTATAGATTATTTCTTAAATTATATTATATTATATATATATATATATATATATATATATATTAAATCTATATATTGCTTATACTATTATTATATATGTACATATATTACATTTTTCAACAATATATAAATTAAGAAAATAGGATATATAGTTTAAAAAACAATATATCAATTAATATATATATATATATATATAGAGAGAGAGAGAGAGAGAGGGGTAAGTTATTATGCAACTCATTTACATTTGTACAACCAATACAATTCAATCTCAAACGTCCATTTAATTTGATAAATATGTGATTTCATAAAAGTTTAAATTGTTTTCTAATATAAAGTATTGATCATAATTAATCAACTCTAGTCATCTTACATAAATATTCAAATCATAATAAATGAACTCTCATCATTTTCATAAATATCTCAATTGATTAGGTTGCATTGGTTATACAAATGTGATAAATTGCATTTGAAACGTCCTCTCTCTCTATATATATATATACACACACATAAATTTAAAAAAATATAATATATAATTTAAGAATCAATATATAAATTATATATTATATTTTTTCCTAAAAATATTTTTTAAAAATATCTCGTTCTAACAGAGATTGTTAACGGAGTTAGTAACTAGGTATCATTTTCAGAACCAAAAAGACGATTTGCAGACTAATCAAAGTTCAAGTTCCAATTTCAAAGATTTCATTAAACCTGAGGGACCAAAATGAAAGTCTACTCTCCAATTTTTTATGGTAAATAAAGGAAATTCTAAAATGGATGGTGATAATAAGATTTGGATTGAATATTTGTTGTTTTTGGTTTTGAATGTGTGATTGCATGGGATTAACATGCATGAGAATGGGAGGTGTTAGAAAAGCTTGCAAATCCTTTCTCTCAAAACACCATATTGGCAAGAAATCCCACAAGAACAAGAACAAGCACCCACTTCAGGTTCAATAACATTCCTTCAATTAATCTCTCTTTTTCAAAATTAATATATTCAAAAACCAGTTATATATATATATATATATATATATATATGTATACATATATATACATATATATATATGATTCATGAATGAATATATGTTTGTAATCACCGATACCCATATGGGCGAATGATCGTGTGAGACGCGTAAGAAACAGATCTGAACCTTTGATCACTTTTGATCTAAATGTCCACCCATGAATTGCACTTTAGAAGAGAATCGATCTGGTGCATCTCGGTACATCTCATTAGTGTTGATATTCGATTAGGATGAAGATCTGTTCTTACGCTTCTCACACGGAACCCAATCATCTTTCAATCAAATTTTATGATGTTATTTATGTTGCAATATTTTAGGTGAATGTTGATGATGATGGAGATCGAGATGGAGATGGAGATGGAGATGGAGCTGAAAGGGAAGATGTTACATCACCAAGAGTCACGGCTCCGAGATTTACGAGAACAGCGAGCACTGGTTTTTTGCCTAGCTCTTTGCCGAAAACGACAAGCCAGCGAAGGAGCAAGACTCCGGGCCGGCTCAGACCCGTGAATAGTCTGCTACGAAGCTTTAGCAAGAAGGGCATGGATTCAAACTCGTTTCATGCTGGTCACGTGGACAGATCGTCTTCTGTTTCGAGACGGCACAGCTCGACCATCGTGTATTCCAATGCTAATGGACTCCGCAAACCTCCCGATATGGTGAAGCGACTTGAGTGCACCCTCGAAGATCTGTGCTTTGGCTGCATCAAGAATGTCAAGATCAAACGTGATGTACTTACAAGCGAAGGGTATGTATTTTTTGTATGGCCATTGCTTACGTCTTAAATCACGATTTGAGTCGCTATAACGACTTACGTAAAGTTCGTACCCAACGGCACATGTGAGGCAAATCACGTATATAACAGTCTTCTAGGTGGCTGACTTAACATTGTTCCTCTCTTTCGTTAAAAAGGTTTCGAGAACACTGTGGCTACCAGACTCGAACCCTCACCCGTTTGTACAATTTATAAGTAAATATCTTTTCCAGAACAAACAAATATGGTATCCGAAAATACCCAAAGTTTCCGAACATAAAACATGTACTAATAACAAGTGTCCCCGGAACCATGGTACGGCCTCGGGGCACTTGAACAGAGTTATTCATGCTTCCTTTACGCTCTGCAGGCAAATAATACAAGAAGACGAAGTGCTAACGATAAAAGTGAAGCCAGGATGGAAGAAAGGAACGAAAATTACCTTCGAGGGTATGGGAAACGAGACGCCAGGCACCTGTGCTGCAGATATCACGTTTGTGGTTGACGAGAAACGACACCCTGTGTTTAAAAGAAAAGGGGATGATTTAGAAGTAGCCGTTGAACTTCCGTTAGTAGACGCCCTGACTGGTTGCACGCTCACCATTCCTTTTCTAGACGGGCAGCAATCATGTTTACTAATCGAGGACGTCATTACCCCTGGTTGCAGAAAGAGCATTGTAGGACAAGGCATGACATTGCCAACAGAAGAAGCAAAAAGAGGAAACCTAAACATCAAATTCTCGGTTCAGTTTCCACAGCAACTGACAGAAGAACAACGATCAGAGTGTTTCAATATCTTACAAGATTCATACTAATCTCGTATAGAAAAAGCATTATCACGGAAACAACCATTATACTCTTTGGGGTATAGGTCAGCTCTGCATACATTTTACTCCACATTCAGGTGGGGTATACTGGGTTCGTTTGGTTTTATCCTATAAAGCATTAGTGAGGACAAAGAAATCTTGAATCACAAAAGAACATTCTGAAAGAAGTTGTACTATACAAAATGCATTCATGTAAAAAGTAGATATAATTGGAACATTTTACTTATCGACAGAAATTAAAGCAAACGGGTTCTTTGGGTACACAAATTGCAGATTTACATCTAGGACCAGCCAAAAAGAGCACGAATGATGCCAAGTATACTGCCATCTAAAAGAGCCTTGAGAAGCCTAAGCTTGCCTGGTGTGTAAGGCGGGTACCTTGCTGATGCATCCCCGTAAAAGCTTCTGTGTAGGACGCCTTTCTTGTGACTGAAAGCATCAAATGAGAATTTCCCATGGTATGCCCCTATTCCACTGTCTCCGACTCCGCCAAATGGTAATGTATCGACCATAAGCTGCACAACGGAATCAGATTAGGCATAAAAGAGTTCTTGAATGGTTGTGTCAACATGGCAAACTCATTTTGAAGCTCCTGTGTGAAAAGGGTGTAAAAATGGGTGGACCATCCACCGCATCAGTCCCACGGCCATCATGGGGGAGGTAAATCACTATGAGTCAACACAACAGGTATGGGGCCGTTACCAACACAAATTGGCTAAGGCGCTTCTCCACCATCCTTGCTTACCTTATCGGGTAAGGGAAAGACCATCAACTCTGAACGGGTAAGCGTCTCCTACCCGGTAAGAGCCAATAAGTGTTTAGTTACCCAGTAAAAGACATTAAAATGTTTAATAAACAGGCCCTAAGTGATGGTTTAAACGAGGGACCTTCTTTATGGAAGTCCACCATCCTACTACTGCTAAGGCAACACATGGGGACGTGAAAAGGGTGTGTGCGTGTGCACGCGTATGCAGACATGTAAAGATATATGTCTTGTGTGTGCATGCACAATGCACCACTAAAACTCCTTTTTGTCCCTTCCGGGTCGGAGTTATAAATAATGAAAATTGATTGGTGGAAATTGAGGAGTAGTACATGTAAGGAGATATCATTAATGAGTACACCACCAGCAGAGACATTGCTCACAAACTCCTCCTTGAGCTGCTTCTTGTTGGTAAATAAGTATGCTGCGAGCGGGTTTGGTCTAGAATTGATAAAGTGGATGCCATCTTCAATTTTGTCGACCTACATAAACCAAGAGAACGATACCCAGAAGATCAATGACTAAAAGTTATTTGAACTTTTGAACCAAATATAGATTTACAGTGGCTGGTCATTTTTGTACCGTAACTATAGGAAGTAAAGGTCCAAATATCTCCTCGTTCATGATCAGGGAGTCTTCTGGGGCATCAAGCACAATGGTTGGAGCAATCTTTCTAAAACAGACAAAAAGCAGCATGTGCATTAGAATTGGTTAAATCTACTAAGCTCAATTCACAATCACAATTACCAAACAAACTTTCGAACAAATTTTTTTCACCAAATCATTTCAAACCTTTTTACAAGCCGCCAGGGATTTGGGGGGGGTCATTTGGTTTGGTTTAATTACAGAACAAAAAAGATGCCATTAAGCAAACTCACAGGTTGTTAATGTCTGTTTGACCTCCATGAATTATCTTTTCGGAAACTCTATCGTCATCCAATAGCTTTGTTAACCGAGCAAAGTGATTGGAATTCACGACCCGAGACAAATCTAGCGAGTTCAGAGCATCCTCTCCAAAGAACTTGACCAACTGATGTTTTATAGAGTCTATCTGCAGAATGACAACAGCAGACAGATTAACATCTGATTTTAAAATATTATACATCGCTTAAGAGAACATACATACCAACACTGGAGCATAATTTTTTGTTGTTATTATGTAATCAGGAGCTACACAAGCTTGTCCATTGTTGCATCCCCACTTCCCTGATACTATACGCCTTGCTGTGACCTATAAAGCACAGGATATCTGATCACAAGAGAAAGAAGATGGCATTTGGGGAATGAAGTACATACAAACATATGAGTTTTAATGTAAAGAAGAAAGACCCCTACTGTTAAATCAATGTCTGAATCAACTAGAACAGGAGATTTGCCTCCAAGTTCCAAGACTACAGGTGTCAGATGCTTTGCAGCAGCAGCCATGATGACTCGCCCCACTCTCCCATTCCCTACAAGGTTGCTTATTCGGTTATATAATCATGAATAGGGCTTACGTAGTAAGCAGTTGTCAACAAATAATATGTTTAAGACCAGTGCTTACAGTGAGAGGCTAAATCAAGACAGGATTAATTTTGGAAAATATAGATATAATTGAAGTTAGAAGATCGACAAGCTAACCAAGTAATAGAGGCAGAACATTTGTTAACAGAATATAACAACGGATTGTCAGGCATATAACTTTATCCGAAACAAAAAATAAAATAAACTACAACAGTAAGCACAAAAAGAAGTTAGTATTCCTTTATGCATGTCTCAACCTCCAAAAAACAAAGTTGACATCCCAAAATGGAGAATGTTGCAACGTTGAAGGAAGGAGCATGTAAAGCCCATGGATCATTCACAGATCATGTGATCCCAAAGTAGAAGAACTCAATGTGACATATTAAATATCAGCAAATGCCAAGACTAATAATCAACGTATATGGAAATCATGATAGGAAATCTTTTAGAAGGATAGTTGATTTAGAAGCCATCAAGTATTCACTTGAATAAGGTTTTATAGTAGAGGAACCATGAAGTACCACTGGCTCACTTACTGCAAGACAATAATATGTCACATCATAATGGTTAAGAATGAAGTTCAAGGATGCCATACCAGTCATATGACATCAGATTATATAACCAGAGTTATTATTGTATGAAAGTAACCCAGAATCTTTAAATGGGAAAACTAGCAGAGGCCAAACTCTTTACAAATTAGCATAGATATTGTCGCCTCTACAACATAAAGTTGGATACTCTTGTACCCCCTTATCTGCCCTTAATCCGTGGCACAACATTAGATGGTGAAAAGCTAAGAAACAGAGAAAGACCTGTGTAGAATATTTTATCCCACTTTTGCTCCAGGAGCGCAGACGTTTCAGGAACAGCACCTTCAACAACTTTTATTGCAGAGTTATCCAAATATTCTCCAAAAAGTTTTGCCAACAATGAAGACATGGCTGGAGCAACCTCTGAGGGCTTCAGAACAACAGCATTCCCAGCTGCAATTGCTCCTATGACCGGATCAACAGATAACACTGGAAGGAAATAAATGAATTAGGAAACGGTGTAACTGACAAATATGTGTTTCATAATCCAGGTCCCTTCAATTTAGGTTTAACTCAGACATACACAAATCAAGCATCTGCAGTTTCAGAACAGGAATAAAAGTACAAGAAAATGATGCAGAAATAACTATCCATGCTTATCTATGCCATGCATTATTATTTACTGCCCAGATCATTTACATAAAATCATTCAGAAAAATTCTTGTTTACAGAGAAATGGTAAGCTTCTGTTCACTAAACTCATGTGATGAATGAGCATTAGCTTCAAAAGCAGATGCATAATTACCCTAGTTTTGTGGAGTTCAGATGATGTCAAACATATAATTACCAGATTGTTGGTGATTATAACATGATGTGTACACCATCCAATTCATGAAATTAGCAAAGGTAGAAGGGCGATGTAACTATAATTCAGACTCTTAATCACTTTAATTACAGCTCTCCCCCGCATGGCACAAGTGGACCCTAGGAAACAGAGTCTTTATGCCACTATTCTCCTTGCTAACAGTCTAGAAAAAACTCTCCAACAAGCCAACCAAATTAAAAATATGTAAATAAGAAAGAACAGTGTATTAGAATTAGCAAACATGAAGTTTCCTAGGAGAAATGCAGATCCTTGCAGCGTTTATGGTTTCTACTTTCTATGCTCAAGGCTTGAAAGAATGGAGAATCTATAGATATTTAGGTATGTCCATTCCTCTTTTGGAAGATATATTACGTCCCTTTGAGGTAGATTATTTTAAGCCATTGATCTCAGGGACGGAAGTGGCTCATCTGTCAGCATTTACATTGAAAACAAGAATTTCTCTGAAATAACTTATGTGCGAGCACACATATTAACTTTCAGAATTGCGTTTTTTTCCTGCTAAAAGATCTGCCTAAGTATTGGAAATATTACATCAAAGTGCATTCACTAACTCATTGGACTTCATCCACACATGTTCCTCGTAACTGTAATTTCTAAAAAGAAACAAATGTGGTAGATAGGGAAGAAACCAGGTTATTAACATACAGAATGGGTAGTTCCACGCTGATATGATCAGTATAACGCCCAATGGTTCTGGCACTATTTCTGCTGACGATGGAAAAGTACCTAAAGTGGTTTTCACCTGCAAAGAATTGTCAAAAAATGTGCATCATATGTCTTCCATTTTTAAACTACAGGCAGTTTATGTGTCGCTTAAATTCAATCACAGTTACTTTTTCTGGTTTCATCCAATCTTTTAGCTTCTTCAGTGCCAACTTGCAGGATGCCTTTATCATAGCAATCTGCATTTGAAAAACAATGGATCAAATTTAGTGGGATACAACTACTTGCATCATAATATTCCATATGTAGAAGGTATATTGCACCAAGATCATAACGAAGATAATATATGCGAAAACAGTTCTTATTTAGCAATCATCAAAGAATGACGAACTCAAATTTAAGATTGTATTGTGTGAAAGAAAAAGTGGCATTAAGACAAAGAACTTGATAACTGAGTTAGCCTTCACTCTGAACAGAACTAAAAACCTTTATGAAAGTAATTAGCAACACCTGAGACAACAATCCAGTTAAATATTATGCCTATTTTCCTCCATCACCATTTCGATAAAAAGTAATTTACTCATGAAGAAGTTCCACATTTTACATAAACTCCAATTATATAAATTCAAAATTATTTCATTAAGTGAGCTTGGTAGACAATTCTTCTTGTTGGATACACTGTGTCGCAGTGGACTTCCTTTCATATGATTCTGCCAGGTCTAGAGGCCAGAAGCATTCATCAACAGATACTATACATGGAATGCATTTCCTTTAATGGCGCATATTGAAATATATATATCCGTAGGGTTTGGTTCCGGTGAGGATGGAAGTTATGGTGAGAAGGGTAAGAAGGGATCTCCATTCTTGAACGATCCTAACTGAAGATCAACACTAATGCGGTGCACCGAGATGCACTGGATCAATTCCCGTGATAAGCGTAATTCATGGGGTGGGGTAAGATTAAAAGTGATCCAAGGGTCTAGATCCCTTCTTAGGCTTCTCACCTTAACTCCTATATATAGGGGATTGCCCCTAAGGCTGAAATGAGACTGTAACTAACATCACACATTTGGGACTGAAAATAGTACAACTGTCAACAACATGTGGTATCCTCAATTTCTTAAATGAGATCCTGCCTTTGTGTTCAACAAAAGCCCACCAGCTATTTAGAAAACAAGAAATTGCTTTTGTTTTCGACAAAAATGTTGAATGGAAAGGTTATATCATGTTCTCAACGAACCAATCAAATTTGTTAGACGTGCAAATTTGGTGCTTCTACGGACGCGTACACAAAAAAAATGGTGAGAGAACCATCCCCATCAATTTCAAAAAATCTGATTGGTTTCTTGAATCATAAATAATGTGGAATAAATTAGAAGGCAGAGACAGCACATCTGCAATTTTTTAGCAAGTTTTGGTTCCTGTAAGGAAATAGACCTCAATAAATTGTTACACCGTCAATGACCAAATCAAGTACTGCAACAAAAGAATTCATCAAATATAGTATTCAAAATTCAGCATTTAATGCATTCACCAACTAAAAGGATCAAGGAATTAATTCCTAAAGTAAAAACATAACATCAGTACGTCCGTACAGCACATGTATTACCGCATATGCTCATGAAAAAGAGTGGGCATTTGAAGTTTGACTCACAAATGAGTTGCTCAAAACAAATGCCTAGAAGCAAAAAGATGATAACTAGATTCAACCTCTAAACTTTCACTCAAATAAAATTGAATTTGAACTTGAAATTTTTTAGGTCAATTTGAATTTGAAACTATTTCTTGAAGCACAAAGTCAGTGTACATAAAGAGCAGGAACACAGACACGCATGAGTCATCTATGAATTTATTACACAAACAGATCTAAAAGGCAATTATGCCAACACGCAATCACAGAAAAGTGATCAGTCGCACTCCAATCTGTCAGAAAAATTCCCTGCACAATCAAATATACCCCTATGTGTAAGTTAAATAAAGGACCTCGTGGATGAAAGCTTCCATCTCAGGCTTGGAGAGGTCGGAGAATAGAGCATCACAAATCTGCTTGTCGCGATCTTCCACCATCTTCAACAAACTCTTCAACTGTGATACTCTCCATTCATAGCTCTTGGTCTTTCCAGCGATAACCGTGCTTCTCAACTCCTTGACTAAACTGTTGGCAGCCTCTGTATCGAACACCACCATCGCCGGAGAATCCTTAACATCTTCTGACGCCATTGTTGACGACAATATCAATATGAAATAATAAGCAGCAGCTACACCTGTATATATGGAGATATGAACAAGGAGAGTGACGTGAGGACGGCTGTATAGTAGTTTACCAGCAAAACGAGGCGTAAGCTTTAAGAAAACTAGATAGAGTTGGAAGGCGATGGGGATGCGTTGATGTTAACTAATAGAGTGAAGGATTCCATCTATGGCCGTTATAACAGCATCTCACACATCTCTTCAAATGTATATTTTGAACAACTTTTTGCTGTAATGGATTTTTCTGAAAATATAATGAAAAGTGAAAACAAAAGTTGAAATTAGGGATGGAAAAAAAGAAACAAACCCGATGGTGAAAACCGAAAACCGAAACTTTCGGGTCGGGTTCGAGGACATCTTTTCAGGGACGGAGTGACAATCGGGGAAAAAATCGGGACATGTAACCACCATGTAAAATCATTAAACAATATTTAGGGACAAATTGTCCAACTCAGTCTTGTCTAATCCTAGTCGTACCAAATATCAAACAGATAACTTGTCGTTTCCAGTCCAGTATGATTCTCTCCTACTGTTCAGTCCAATCTAATCTTATCCGGTTTTATCTGCATACCAAACAATACCTAATGGACTAACTTACTGGTCGTTTACCAAATGTTCACCCGGTAAGTGCTTACCGACAAGAGTCATATCTCTCTTTTACCTTATAGGTAACATTTCCTGCCATTAAAATGGATTGAGGGTAAACGTTTAAGCCTTTGCGGGTAAAAGTACGTTAACATAGTATAGTATATATTTGTATATAAGGCATAAATTCCTTTTGTAATTAGCCTTAATGATCTCCCTAATCATACCTTAAAGGGGTATATAGTTCGTAGAATGGAATTCGATGGAATTTGAATCCATCAAATGAATTTGATTTTGAGGTCCCTTTTGGTTTAAGGAATGGAATGGATTTGGGGGATTTGCATTTTAAATCCATTCTAATCTCATGTTTGGTTTGTTGGATTGTCCGGATTTGAAATCCTAGAATTTAATTGAAATCCTTCAAACATATGATTTTGAAATCCTTAGGGAGTGCTTGGGATTTCACGAGATTTCGTATGATTGTATGCAATAAGGTTTTAAAAAATGTTAAAAACATTTGTTTTGTAATAATTGATTAATAAAAATGTAATTCAATTATTTTTATGATTATTTATAATTTTCTCTATAAATTATTTATAATAATAAAATCCAATTTCATTCCAAATCCTACAAACCAAACACACAATAAAGTGTAACCTAGATTGATTTGGAAATATGCATATATTGTAATCCCTATCAATGAAAAGGGCAAGCAAATCATTTTCACAATCCTATAGACTATAGAGTAATCACTCTCACCTTGTCAATATCTATGGGTTACTTACAAAAATAACCATTTAAAATTAATAAATTACACTTTTACCCCTATTAATAAAAGAATTCATAAATTGCAGGTTACTTCAATACTTTGTTAGCATCGTTAGGTGCATACAAAGACCCTACTGCAATTCTTCAAACTTATGATTTAAAAAATAATTAAAAGTGGGTCCCACCTTTACGCACCAGTAGTGATGGTCAAACCGACTCGGCCTGGTCCGGGACTGGTAAACACCGGTTATAAGACCGAAATCTAGGACCGGTTATGGATTTGGGGTGTTTCGTGGGCCCAGGACCGGTTATGGATCAGCCCGGACTGACCCAATTTTTAAAAAACGTAACTTTTTTTTTAAATGTAGCTGTTTTTTGGCCCTTTTTTTTGTCTTTTTTGCTTTCTAAACACTATATACAAGTGTCTTGGTTGAGGGATTTACATACCAAGTTCTTGATTCGTAAAAAAACGTTCACAATTATCGGTTTCTCGCTATATTTTGTAAGACAATATAATTTTAATTATAATAAAATGCATTTTTAAAGTGTATTTGAATGACCCGATTACAAAATTTATAATGTATTAAAAATATGTATCGTTAAAAAATAAAAATAAAAAAAAATTATTTTTCAATGACCGGCAGGGACCAGGAATGGGACCGACAGCCCATAACCGGTTACAATAAAGCTTGACCGGTCTCAACTTTTTCGAGTGAAACCGGGCCCAGTTATGCCGGGACCGGTTATGGCCGGTTATAAGAAAATCTTGGGCTTGGCCCGACAATTTTTTTATTTTTTATTTATTTTAAATTTAATTTCTTATTAATTTTTTTAAAGAATTCTTAATTCTTTTTAGCTTTAATTTTTTAAAAATATAATTTTTTTTTACAAATTCAGTTTTTTATTAAAATTTATTTTTTTTGTTAGAAA